GGCGCCGAGGTCCTGAGCAGCTGCCCCTCTCCGAGGGCCCAAGGTGGAGCGCCCTGCCCGCTGCGTGCACCTGGCTGTGCAGGCATCTTTCTCGGTTCTGGGCGGGGGGCCTGTTGAGATGTCGTCAGAGAAAGCGGGGAGATGGACGGCCCCAGGGGTGTGGGCAGAGGAAGGAGAGCTGAGCACCTCTCTGTCCTGTTTGCTCGCGACGGGCCTGACGCGCTGCTGCAGCGAGGGTCCCAGCCCGCCCTCCCTGTGGTGCGTGGGGAGGGCACGTCGCCTGGCAGAGGAGCGCCCCTCCCCACCCCCCTGCCCCCCTCCCCTCCCGCACTGAGCAGCCGGGCAGGCCCGCAGCCCAGGAGAGGCTCGGGTCACTGCTCCCATCCACCCAGCAGTTCAGGTGGCGCCACGCGGAGGCGGCACTGCCCCTTCTGCCCGGGGAGGAGGGGAGCTTTGTCGGGGAACCGCCAGCTACACACCGGGAGCTGGACCGCGGGAACGGGGTGTGGTGCGGAGTCTCGTCCGCTGAGGCGGGTTCGGTGGGTCTGGGTTTGGTGATGCTGGAGTGGTTCCCTCACTGCCGCCTCCTGCCGTGGCCCGTTCAGTGCTGGCTGTGCTCGGGGTGGCCAGGTCTCCCCCCAGGCGTGTCCTCCCAGGACCTCCCCGGTGAGGGCAGCAAAGGCCACGCTGCTGCCTGGTGTGTAACCGCATGGCACAGTCGTGTCCCAGGAATACGGCATCCGCGCCTGACCCGACAGCCCGCGGGCCGTGAGGGCCGTGTGGGTGGCACGGCAGACAGCGGGGTGTCCTGCTGTCGCAGTCGTCGCTGGGCGGCTCCGCGTGGTCCGGCCTCTGCAGCTCACTCGCCCTTTCCTCTGTCCCCAGGGCTCCAAGGTACTCGTGGACGCGCGGGACAAGCTGGGCATCCCCTGGCAGCACTCGGAGAACGAGAAGCACGGCATGTTCCTCATGGCCTTCGAGAACAAGGCGGGGCTGCCCGTGGAGCCCGCCACCTTCCAGCTCTACGTGCCCGCCCTGCGCGCCCTCTGGGGGGACTCGGGCATCCGGGAGGCCTACCGCCGCAGGAGCGAGTTCCAGCTGGTGAGTGAGCGGCCGAGGGGGGTTCCCCGCAGATGGTGACCTCGGGGCGATGCTCCTTGGACTCTGCACAGGCAGGCGGAGGCCGCCTTTTCACCCCTACAGCTCACCCCGCACACGGCAAGGGGGGAACACAGGCTCACCCCGCACACAGGTTCACCCCCCCACAAAGGGTAGGCGGGCCGCAAAGTTCAACCCCGAAAACAGGATCACCCCGGCCAAATGGCTCCACCCCCGGAAAATGGATTCCTCCTGGAAGAGGGGGTCACCCCGAAAAGTGGTTTACTCCGGAAAATTTATCTTTCTGACAGTCTTTTCTTTTTCGTATTTTTGTTTCTCACTTTCCATT